TTAAAGAAAATGAATAGCATCAGAACGTTGAAAAAATGAACCATAAACCTGAAGGAAAAGTGACTATATGTGCAAGCGAACAGGATGGTCAAAAGTGATGGAAGATGTCATCAACAAAATGGACCAGTCAGCCATCACCAAGAGGCAGTCAGCGGACTTAATTCTCCAAAAATCTCCAACAACGGAGACTGAAAAACGGGTGGATAGAAATGTTTTACTGAGCTACTGGCGATTGTAATAACGATATAAAAAAGGGCGGATGGATCTTCAATTTAACGTAATGGATCATCGGAAGAAGAGTGACAGTGGACGCACATGTGTGTATGTTTTCAGAAGTAAACTAAGCCCTAAAAATTCCTGCCCATTTGTTAACGGTGATACGGACATTTGAAATTATAGCCTATATGGTTGAAAGGATAGTCTCCGCTTTCCACGCAACCATCAAAGTGTTTTTCAAGGTGAAATAAAAGGTTGATATCCGTGAGTAGCGGAAAAATCCAATACAAAGTTCACAAACACTGCAGTAGTGGTTGGTATACACATATGGAGCGACACGAAAGTTGGTTGTTCCAATGTATAAGTACAATCAAACTTCACATTTAATAAACATGTTGAATTGGGAATGGACATCGGGCTTTCCGTTTGTTTGTTTGTTATGAATTTTGCGCAAAGCTACACGAGGGCTATCTGCCTTATTCGTCTCTAAATTAGAGGTGAAAGACTAGAGAGAAGGCAACTAGTCATCACCACTCACCGCCAACTCTTGGGCTACTCTTTTACCAACGAATATTTGGATTGACCGTCACATTATAACGGCCCCACAGGTGAAAGGGCAAGCATGTTTGGTTGAACGTGGATTCAAATCCGCGACCCTCAGATTGCGAGTCGCCCTAACCACCTGGCCATGCCAGACCTGGGCTTTCCGTGCTAAAGAAAGTACAATACTATTTCCACATCGGTAACAATATGATGGGAATTGGGGCAACTGACTTTTATCTCTCTTTGTAAGAAAAATTGCCACATTTATTTTATCTCTATGAAACATGAACGCTAATCCCATATGTATATAGATCATGTCTTTTTTTATGCATTGTCTCTATTTTTCACCTAGAACAAGAATAATTTTGATACCTAGACTGTACTATGAAATTATCTCAGTCATTAGTGAAATGTATGATGAGACCAAAATGCTTTACTTAGGAATGTAAAGTACCTATTGTACCTGTTCGAGAGTTTCATTGCTTGTAAATAAGAGATGTTATACTCTGTAACGCAGGTAAATGTTGATAATGCATTTCTTTATTCTTCAGCCAATGAATAAAGTCTACTGAGTTACTTAGCCAGGAAAGGGTACCGAAAGGTACTAGAAACTACTTAAGTTAAGCTTCAATAAGGCTGAGATATGCAAGTAGAATCGTTGGATTCGCATGGTTGTTAATATAGCCATCAACTAAAGTTATACTGCTATGAATATGTTTCTAAGTAACGAGTTTTGTATCCCTGTTAATAATGTTGTTTTTACAAGTAAAATACATCCACTTCCTGAACAGGAGTACATCTTATGAAACACAAAGCAAAAATTGATTTCTTAAATCCTACCAGAAAATTTAACATCAAAAGATAAAAAAATGGATTAGTTTTAATAAATATTTCAAACTACGTGGGATGAAGCTACTAAGCTGAAAAACTATGAAAATGGTTCTCTAATGGCCTAAGACTAGGCTCGAGGACTTATAACGTTAAAACTCGGTACTCATTTCCAGAGGTGGGGATAGTGCAGATGCTCCATTGGGCAGGTTTGCGCTCAATCGAAGTAAACTCCTAGGTCAAATATTTATCTCTTTTGCTTTGATGTGAACTTCTGTAAATGATAATATTAGTAAAGGTTCTCTAACCCTTTTAAGGACGGTGGATACTTACTTTACAGGTTGCTACGCTTTTTGAACACATCTTAACTTTTCTTTTCAGAAAATTTAGATCGCAAATAAAGAGAAATCCCCTTCGACAATTTTGTTACCACAGTAAATAGTGAAGATTAAATGTTGTTTGGCAAACCATACTTTTATGTTGACCAAGATAGCATAAAAAATCAATGCATCACAATATGTAGGCCTAACTTATAACTCCCAATATACATGAACAATTTTCAGATGTTTTTCTTTCCGTATTCGCTCATGTGAATTAAGAAACAACATTTACTATAGTTGAAAATACATTAGAGTGATTTGTAATCAGCTTGTTAAGAACAGTTATGTAGGTATCTTAAAAACGCTACAGTTATATCTTTCCCAGTTTTTGTAACTCTAGGTCAGCTGATTTGATTTATAACGATGTTTAACAATCTATTTAAATAATATGCTGGCGTTTGTCTGTCCGGAACTTTTCTCACAAATTTCTCGATCAAAGGCTACAAATCTCATATAGTTAGAAAAGCCTTTGTCCGAGGAGTTCGGATTACATATCGGCTTTTCCATTTACAATCTTCTTACCTGTTTTTTTTTGCTTAGTCAAACCTTTATTACAACGAGTATGCTACACGATGGCACAGTGTCGTTGTAATCACGTGACGACTGGTTTCGATCTCAACTTTAGTCTTTTTATTTGCAAAGTATTTCACACAAACAACACTTAACTCGTGGATAATTTTCCAAAAAATGAACATTACACTAAATACAATTCCTAAGGGATTTCTCCCACTTATTTAAGTCTAAAATACGCATGCGCAGTTCATTGAAAATCATATGCTAATCACTTTGTGAACACGCATTCAGACGTTTCTGCATTATCAGCTAAGACTGCTCTCATTACAACTTTACATTTACGTTACTTTGCAATAATGTAGCTTCGGTTCGTCTGACAGACTGCTGTACATATTTTTTAACTATTTTTTTCTTTACTACGGTTTTATTCTATATTTGTGAGAGTTTCTTTGTTTCAATTCGTAAAACCCGTGTCATACACTGAACGCTCATAACTGTTTCACACTCTGTACATTATTATAAATACAATTACTATACTTTATTGTCCACTTTCGTGTAGTTTAAATATAGTTACGTAGTGTAGTTTTAATAAATAAACTTACGTCTACGTGAGTTTGTTTGTCTGACAGCGTAAAATTAGACCTAAAAATAGACCAGAATTTATCGATCCAACACATAATGCTTGCAAGAAAGCGTAGCTTAAATGGTGTGCGTGGAAATGATAGAATAAGGAAAATTCAAATGAAGGACATGATAACCATCGAAATTGTTTACATTAATACACAACCTAAAAACATACATTTTGCATACATTAGTATCGCTAGTTTTTTCTACCTTTTTGCAAGTGATGAACTGATAGTAAACATGTGAAAAACACGACAGATGAGAAAAACGACAGGTGAGAAAAACGATCTCAGTGTAATATAAAGAAGCCAATTCTTTTAAATCCAAACTTTTTAGTGTGCTCCTGAAAGTGTTTATAGTATATAGCTCTAAAGAAAGAAAAACAGCCAAAACTGATGCATACCTAGTTCCAAAACCGATTGCTATATCATTTTCCTTTACAAGTTTTAGGATTTCTTTTGTAATATTTATTTTCTTTTGTCGAAATACAAAAATTATGAACATTACTAATAATAAGAGGACTCTTGAACAGTTGTTATTTGTTTGTTTTAAAACATTGAGTAGAACATTAGTTTCTGATTATTACAAAGTGAAAAGAGGGTAAGAAAGATCACCCACACTTCATACAGATGTCATACGGAAAGCTTGAATTTAACGTACACTTTATTTTGAAATCATTAAGAAAGTTTAAACTTGTTTTGTAACTATCAATTAGAAGTATGCAGCTCAACTGAACTGGTCTGAATATAGTCGCATAAAACCAAAATTTAAAGAGAGTACTAGGGAATGTATTAGGCTAAAATGGCACATCTATCTAAAGAAACACTTGGTTGATTCCCTTTAGCGGAGGCACCAAAATGTATAAATATCAACAAGAAAAAGGTGCTTTTTGTGTAATATATAAACTAAAAATGCTAAATGAATGTCATTGTTTGAATAGTTTATCAAAGATTTACTGTAAATGAGCGTCTTCATTGACTTAAATTACCAAATATTATATTGTAAAGTCAATATATGGCCAACTCTGCAAGTTGGCACACACGCGTGTCAAAATAACACTTCGTAATAATTTAAAAGTTTCATCTACCAAAAGGTTAGCTGTCCCTAATTTTAAAGTGATAACCCAGAGGTAAAACGTCTTCATCAATACGATCTACCACCAATTTTTGGGCTATTTTTGTTATTTGACAGTCATTCGTTTAATGCAACTACAGCATAAAAGTGCATAACACTCTTTTTTCGTTTTCGGCGGTAACGGGACGCGAACCACGCAACCTCAGCTCCAGCGTGCTAGTCACTGAGCACTACTCGACCATTCGCAATGATTTATACATTTCTAAATATATCAAATAAATTTACACAACATTATTATTTTTGTTTATACAAAGATGGAACTCTCCTACAAAGACAGAAACAAAAATTAAATGTAATTTTTGAAAGAGCAATCGCACTTATATTTCGTTATATCTTTTTCTAAAGGAAACATTTTTAAAATTCATGACTTGGGTGTTTTCTACGAGTTATTTTACATCATTAATTCTTCCACATTATTTGTTTACTTTTATTAATACGAGTTTCATAAATGACAATTTCTCGTGATATTTATAAGTGAAATAATGCATATCTGAAAATTTCATAAAACCTAAAACATATCTTTATTGATAAAAAAATAATTGGAAATAGCATTTAATTTATTTAACGAACTTGCTGTTGTAAGACGATCATAAAGTTGTTTATTGTTAATAAAGAAACGTAAATCAAATGGCAATTACTACAAAATTACTACACATAATAAGGGACTTTTTTTTTGCACACGTGTGAGTGTGTTTTAAGTTCCTTTCAGTTTCTGAGTAGAATAATGCTAACTAAATGAAAAATCAAACTTTTCAAACATACCTCGATAACGTATTTTATCCAGTTGATTGGTTAGAATTCGAAGTTCCGCATTAGAAAGATCACCAGACTGTTGAAATAAACACATTCGTTAATATACTGCCCTTATGAGCCTTTCAACACATTAACTACAAAAATCCACGAGATTTATCAGCTGAATATTTTGTTTTGTTACAGATTATTTCGTCTTATGGCTTCATTAGGAGTTTCCTGCACTGGAGAAACAGTGCAGAAAGGGAAAGAAGAGAAATGTAATATATTTTAATGTAAAACTTTTAACTCTTTAACAATGCATTCCATCCATCGCACTTAATGAGTAAGACTTCATCAGTTGATCTACTTTACATGTTAAGCTTTGCAATTACTGACCCTTTTCAAGGGTCATGTTAAGAGAAGTAGCTTGGATTTAAGTTAAATTGTTTTGGGAACTTAAATGTTCGATTAAATCTTTATCTTTCTCTTCAGATAGCAATACCTCCGATAAAAAAAAGCTACAAATATCTGGTGTTTAATGTTTGTACAGATACGACAAACGAACATAAAAAATGAGGTAATCACAGTTCTTGAGTTCTAGAAACTTGTCTCTTGAAAATAATATATTTTTGAACACGCTATTTTCCTTCATCAATCTCCGTTTCGTTTTCTAGCATTTTTATTTGGATTACCTTTTGTATCCTTTAAATTTGAAAGTCGGCTATAAACATCCTTCTCCCCCCCCTTCCACCCCGGCGGCTCAGCGGTGAGTACGAGGACTTTTCACGCTAAAAATCTGGTTTCGATACCGTGGCGGGTAGAGCACAAATAGATCATTTTGTAGTTTTGTGTTTAACGAGAAACTAAATCTGTTAGGTTTAGTTACATAATCTATCCATAGTGTATTTCTTTAATCCTGGTTATCATATGTTAAAATTATTAATCAACAAAATAAGAGAAAATAAATTCGAAGAATTATGATTTACAATTGCGCTGTTCAAATGTACAAGAAAAAAAACAACGTATTACAGCTTTAGTTACTTTAGAGTTATCGCAAGGAAACAGTTTTGAAAGTGCTATAAAATATTTTAGATGAAGATTTGAACTGAGCAAATGTCGCTTTTGGATTTTATTTTATTATTAACACAACTCCCAACTTAAACTTAAGAACAACAATATATGAACTCTTTATCTAATAATGTTTAACATTTTCTACAAAATTAATCTAGTAAATTAACATTGCTCTAAACTCGGACTGATAGCCAATGATTACAATAACAACATTTAAACAAAACAGATTACACAGAATTAACCTAAATAACTTCTTTTTTCCTCCGTTTGGTTTAAAACACTGTAAAAGAATGCATAGCAGTTCTACGTGTTTATACATACGTACTGTAAACCGTGTACCGTGATCTTCGAAAAAACAAGAAAACGAGTAATACGCGAATTTCTAGCTTGACGACAACATGTTTTTAGATACACTAAGTCCCATCGTAACTTTAAATGTTTACCTGATTTTAGAAAATGCTGATGTGTAAAAAACCAGTTCATATATATGTATATTAAGTTTAGATTTGGTTGTCTTATATGGCGATCTAATTCTTCATGTTCTCACTGTTTTTCTCTGATGTTTTTCTTTAATTTTACCTTCTAACAAAATATGGATGCATTTTTTGGAATTAAAATGGCGTACCCAATAATCTGTAGTATTAAAACACAATCGTATTAATGCACTCTTATTATAGCTAGTTTTCAATAGTTTTTCTTAATGACAAATATTTTTTTTATCAGTTTCGGGTCATTAGTTAAAATATTTATTTACTTTTAATGATCTTTTACTTTTATTTATCATTATTACACTTACTAATATATGTACATCTGTATACAAAATGAACAGCAGCATTAATGTCATTAACTATTTGTTTGAAGTTAAGCGCAGACATACCTCTGTGCCACTGGGGGCTTCATTAACTAAAACAGAAAATGTTTAAGTTAAAGAGTTTATTAGTATTTGAACTTTAAAACAGAATTTTCTACCTGAAAGACACCTTATTCGAGTGTGCGCTAAGCATTGAGGTCAGAGAACTTTAAAATACAGCTATAACCGTCCCTAGTTTTGAATTACTGACAAGTGGGAAGGTAATCAGTCAGCAGCATCTTCCGCCATTAGGACTTTAACAAGCTATTTCAACCGAATAAAGATTGACCGTCACTTTTATAACAGCTGAAAGAGCAGGGTCTGTTCAGGCGAATCAGGTCTCGAACTTTTTATCCTCGACCTTCAACCTTAGGCCATGTTCTGACTTTTATTAGTTATTCTTCCTGTATACTTTCGCGAAGTTATGATGATATTCGTTATTCCTTTTTAAAGTGTTTCAGTAAATGAGATATCTTATAGAACAATTTTCTATAGTGGTAATATGTCTTGACTTTCAGTGGCTCAGCGTTAAGTCTGAAGGCTTATAACGCCAAAAACTGTAGTGGGCAGGGCAAAGAATGCCTATTGTGTGGCTTGGTGCTTAGAATCAAATAAACAGATAATCAAAGACTGTGCAGTAAGAAACTGAAAGTAAAATCTGGGACTCATCATTGTATACCGTTGTTCGCTTTGAGATATTCGCTCAAAGCTATACAAGAGTTATCTGCTCTAGCCGTTCCTAATTTTAACTGATAGATAAGAGGGAAGACAGATACTCTATAACACCCACCGCCAACTCTTGGTCTACTCTAAACGAATAGTATGATTTAACCGTCACTCTTATAATGATTCTATTGCCCCAAAATGCAGAATGCGATTTTGCGGCAAAGGGACATTAACCATGGACCTTCAGAACCATAGTCCGTCATGCTAATTACTCGGCCACTCCCAGTCCGGAAACTTGAATCATTGCTTTTATGTAATGCTTAGCTTACACACCACGAAGCTCTTAAGCAGGGTGAGGTTTGTAAATTATCTTTAATTACTCTTGCGCTTAACTAGCCTTATCAGATGTTTAAGTTTCTAAATGCTAAAACTTACTATACAAAATAATGTCACTGGAAACGTAAAGTATTAATTTAAACAGAACGTATGTTTCATAAAATTACAGATTTCAAAACTAACCGTTCTAACGCCATTTCTACAACTAATGGGTATTGCGGCGCGTTATAATGATTAATATAAGTAATAACTTAACATCACGCAGCTGCCTTGGCCTTTGGTAGTTTCTTCTTGCTGGCAATGCGGGTTTACTCCTCTACTGGCAAGGTGCGACTGGCAAAGAATTAAAAGAAATTTTATTGAGGAGCAAATCACTTTTAGTAGCATCATAAGTATGTAAACGACTGCAGTTTCAATAAAGGGTTGTGTGATGATAATGGACTGTATCAGGGATATTGGCAGATGCATTTGGAAGATGGCATATTTTGAGATTGCTTTACTTCAAATAACGTGCAAACCGTTCAGAAGTTTCGAATAAAACTCAAATGGTTGGATAGATAAGTAAGCTAGATGTAACAGTGTTTTAAAGAAAAAAGCTTTCCCAGCTCAAACTGCTCCATTTTATAACAAATTATGTATATATGATATTATTATTGGAATATTATGTAATTAGCGTTTCAATGACGTGGTTCGCTGTCTTTAAAAGGCTATCGAATTTTCTTCCCCATCGAGAAATAATCGTCAAATTTAATGTGAAGAAAATTATCAAATGTGTTCAGCTATCTTAAGTAGAAGGTATTTATAGATATCAAAAAAAATATTAAGACTATAGTTTAATTTTCTTTTCTTTTTTTTGTCCCCGGTGGGAGATTGGTAAGTCTTCGGATTTACTACGCTAAGATCAGAGGCTCGGTGGACACAGCAGATGTGGTTTTGCTATAAGAAAACACACACTTCTCTTTGTTTACAATGGACTCAAGTCGTCAAAAATCAGATTTTAACTTTTCTTTTTTGTCCCCGGTGGGAGATTGGTAAGTCTTCGGATTTACTACGCTAAGATCAGAGGCTCGGTGGACACAGCAGATGTGGTTTTGCTATAAGAAAACACACACTTCTCTTTGTTTACAATGGACTCAAGTCGTCAAAATCAGATTTTAACTTTTTTGAATAAAACCAATTGTTGTGCTAAACCCTCTGCCATGAAGCTCCAGAAGTTTTATTATACCAAAGCAATCAGTAGTGAAAAAAATTAGTATGTTAGTTAATGCTGAACGGTTGATATCCGTCTCGAAGCCAGGATTTCGTTTTTCAATATTTAGTTAAATCTGGAGCTGTTGTAATTGCAGTAAACGTTTGTAACCAAAAAAACGCGAAAAGAAATAAAATTAAAACCATTAAATTGAACACCTTTTCATTAATTTCTTCACTGGCACGTGACTTGTCAAGTGGAACATTAGTGAAGTCAAGATATCAGTTGGAAAAAAAATAGAATATGGATTTCTCGCTTCACCTCATGAACAGTTGTGATGGAATGATTAACATCAGTATTAGGGAATATAACACGATTTAGACAACCATATATATCGTCTTATTGAAAATCATGTTTTTCGAGGATTCGTTTATTACATGTACATGTGAAGAAATATTATATACTTTACCTGAAATGTAGTATATGGTTTGACTCACAATAATGATCATTTAAACTTGTCTCTTGTTTCCTTTTTCTATCTCGTGCTGTTTCTGCACTGATCAAACATTTCGATCGGTAGTTTGGGTTATTTTCAAATGATTGCGTTGGAACAAGGGCTAAGTCAAAGAATTCACATTGAAGTCCTCCGTGACAAGCATTATAACTGTTAAGCTACAGCAATATATACATTGAAGCCATCCCTGACATACATTATAACTGTTAAGCTACAGCAATGTATACATTAAAGTCCTCCGTGACAAGCATCATAACTGTTAAGCTACAGCAATATATACATTGAAGTCCTCCGTGACAAGCATTATAACTGTTAAGCTACAGCAATATATACACATTGAAGCCATCCCTGACATTCAATATAAGAGTTAAGCTACAGTTTGACAGTTAAGGTTTAAGGATATATGCCTTATAGGTCTTCCTGACAAACGTTGTAGCTGTTATGTAATTGGTAGAAAAGACCATGCGAAAT